ATTTGAATGTCTCTTCTGGTGACAGGGTTTCACAGGACTCATCTACTGATGGATAGATATAAAAGGTCATAGCCAAAGTTTCTGTATTTGATCACCCCACCCATGACATTCAATAAGAATGCGCTTAGCATTCAACCAGGATATATTGGCAAACAGACTCTCTGTACAGTCCAGGATCTTTGGTGGGTATGAGTCGAGAAAACAGCTGTTCAAAGGAAAACAATCGGTGTACTTTTAAAAGCCAACAGAGTGGACACCAGCGTTCCTGAGCATCTAGGACCCTTTGTACTTTGTAGAAGATTCTTAATTTCTGTAAGCCTCAGGTTCCTCATGAACGGACATGGTTGCCTGCACATTGCATATTAAGAGCCTGAAAAAGAAAGATACCCATGCCAACAAAACACTCAGTACGTTCTTTTCTTTTCATCTCTTTTGCCTCTCTGTTTTAATCATCAAGTAATTATCTGCCAGGAACTTCATACACACACACACACACACACACACACCAAAAAAATAAGGTATTTAGGAATTGTTTCCATTGAGTAGATGGCTATGATTTCCAGTCAGAAATTAGGATTTTGTCTCCTGAATTTCAAAGGAAAAAAATGCAGACAGAAGCATTTAAAATAATTTAAAAGTAAATATATCCCCTAATCCTGAAGTAGAAGATGCTTTCAAAAGAATACAATGCCATTTCTAGCTCTAACCACTAGACAGCAGGAGTGTACTCTGTGTGGCATGAGGAGCCCAGAGGCTCTCCAGGCTGCAAAACTTCAACCAGCTCAGGTACAGCACTTGAAACTACATCAACACATATCAGTCTTTGTATTTTATTTATGGCTGATTTTATCACATTTCCCCCAAATCATAACTTGATCATAGAGTGAATACAGTAATTAGTGGTACATGATAATTGTGTGATATAGTCCTGAGTGTATGTGTATGCATGTAGGTTTATGTTGTCTTGTATAAATGGCTGTATATGTACATGTGTGCTTCTATAAAGGAAATGTATACATACAGATAGACAGATATGTGTATATATCCCTCAATCTTTTTCAATATATTTTTTAGAATATGTTTAATAGTCATATTCTAGCTAAATTCAGAGTTTGCCAATCCACTAATAGCCAGTTCAACTCAATTAACATAAGCACAAATCCAGTATGTTCTTGTCTTCACTACAAGAGAGCCCCCTGATACTCATTTTCCAAAACGTATACAAAATTGTCATCATGTTCTCAAAGAGGAAACTCCTGATGAGTTTTATTTCACCAGATTCTATGATCCAGGGGTGCCCATCAGCGTCGCTTGGCCATGCCAGAGAGAATGGCATCAAACTTGCTGACAAATTGATTAATTCCAATCAGACACACAGGTGGTCCCAAAACCAGCCACTTATCTATGTGCACTGGCTTGGGAAACTGGGGAGGAATAACAAGTGGTGTTTGCCCCTCTAATTACTTACACATCCTCCTCAATGTGTGGCTGTTGCTAAATCACACCAAATGTCTACCTCTCTAAGAGCAAAGAGCAAAGGTAGAGTGCTCTTATTCGATGTGAAGCCTGGGGACATACTTTAGGCCAGTATACCTGTTCAACCTTTCATGTCAATCACGTTTTCTTTGTGATAAAAACTTTATAATGTGCGGAGTGTGTGGTCTTTTGTGGAGCATGTGGTCCCACTAGGCTGACTGAAGTCTGAGAGTCTGGAGCCACCTATCCTCTGTATAACGGTCTAAGATGAGTTTCCCTGAACCCACTTTTCTGGCACAACCTCAAGATCTCCTGGGGCTAAGACCAGTATGAGAAAGTGGATTTGTCATTTGAAAACGCTTTTTTTCCTCTATAAATATTTTTTAAAAAAAGCCTCAATACCATTGCTGAACCTTAATCAGTACTTGGAAAGTACTGAAAAGGCAAGGTTGATCCATCACAATGCCCACTATGTAGCCATGAACTCTTTAGAGAGAGCATAAGATGAGATTAGCATCCTCCGATGGAAGAACAAGTAGGGATGAAAAAAGTACTACACCTTTAAAAATTAAATTCTCTTTTAAATGTGTAGCAGATTGCTTAGAGGGGTCACAGCAAGATTCCAGAAGCTTAGAGATAAATTAATTTGAAGGATAAAAGATTGCAAGTATCACAAAACCTTAGTTAAAACTAGCACTCTGTCTTATATTTAGCTTTTCTCTCCCTTTGCCCTTCCTGAAAGCCAGAAGCACTGAATCAGGTATCCATGTGCGCGTGAAATCCCTATGTGTGTGGAAGACACTTGCTTGCCCATGAATACAAACAGTAGAACCGAGCTGGTCACACATCATTTGCTTTGAAAATTACTAATGTCTGATTTCTCTTTTCGAAGAGTTTTCATTTGATTTACAAGGTCTTAAGCTATCTTAAATATATGATGTTCTCTCATGGGAATAGTAGAGCAGCAGAAAACAAAACGTGACTATTCCCTCTTTCATAGCTATGTTGAAAAACAAAAAGAACTGGGGTGTATTTTAGGATGCAGCTAAACTGTTGATTCCAATGTCAATATGTGGAGGACAGAAGGACACTGTAGTTGTAATGTCTGCCCCAAAGGCTTGCTTCTTGGAGCAAAATTCATATAAGCACACCAACAGTGTCGAGCACTAAGATAGAACAGCATGTGGCACTAAATTCCTGTTGTCTCCCTGTGAAGAGGTGAAGTTAGCAGGAACCCTACTTCAGTGACCACAATGCTGTAATTTAGAAAGAAAGAGAGAAAGAAAGAAAGAAAGAAAGAAAGAAAGAAAGAAAGAAAGAAAGAAAGAAAGAAAGAGGGAAGGAGGGAGGGAGGGAGGGAAGGAAGGAAGGAAGGAAGGAAGGAAGGAAGGAAGGAAAGAAGGAAGGAAGGAAAGAACAGAAAGAAAGGACAAAAAGGAAAGAAAGAAAACTAAAATAAATGCCGTGGTTCTCCAGAGGAAGTGCTCTTAGTAAGGTTCAATTGCCGGTATCAGAGATATCAGGCACATCCCTACTCCTACCCTCTCAGTGTTCATCTGTTTACAAAGGCAATTCAGTACCATCATGCTTAAACTAAACCCCAAACCCCATCCTCAAAGTTATCAAACAAAACACCTGTCTTCTACAATATCCAAATCTGAACAAGTGTTAGAACATGGTATGTACCATAAAATCCTGTTGTTATAAAGCAAACCGAGGTGAAGTTTTTTGGTCAGGTGTGAGTCGGTGTGTGTGTGTGTGTAAAGCTCTTGCCTAAGGCTTACATGTTAAAGATATTTGCAAAGTATTTCCCTTGCAAGAGCCTCTGTAAGCCATATTTTTAACCATATCAATTTCTTCAGTGGTAGAAGAAGAATCTATCACCAATTCTTAGCTTAAGTAAACCTGCTAATATTACTGTGCATTTGAAAAAGTGGGGGATTTTCTCTTTAGGTTAGTCATTAGGGTCATTTGCATTTTGAGGGATGGGGCTGTGTATTTAACGCCCCCACCCCCAATCTTGATTACTGCTATGTGTATTTATCTCTTGAAAGGAAGGCAAGGGATAACAAAAAGAAAAACGTAGTGCTTTAGTATTAGTAAGGGCACTGTGGGGAATGTTGGTCCAGTTGTTGTCATTTGCTATCTATGATAGTGCGTTTCAATCATACATCTGATTACATTGTTAGGTGACCAAAGAAAAAAATCCATCAATACACTCCTGCCCTCTTGCCCTTCTCAGAACCCACCCAAGGGCCACAAGGGCCACTACCTGCGCCTCCTCACTCTATATTTCAAAAAAATAATACTAGGTCAATGAAGGGACCCTGAAAGCCTTTGAGGGGTTGGGAAGGGGCTATCAGTCATCAAAACATTAAATAATAATAATAATAATAATAGTGGAAAAACAGGGAAAACACACACCACATGAAAGGATCATCTGAGAGGAGGCAGCTTTCCTGTTCTGGGTTATCAAATTCTTCCCATATTTGTATTATGCAAGCACAGGGATAAAGAGGGATGTCTCCCACCTCATCCCCAAGGCTGCTGTACCGAGTCAGGACTGGAATATTCCCACCACAAGTCATTACCCAAGGGGGATTCCCGAGTCAGGGTTTCCTCTCTCTCTCCTCACAGTAACTCCTAAGCTGAAGCTGGCTAAAGCCTTAGCTCCAGGAGGAGCCTGTCTCAGTATTGAACACTGAGATTCTCATTCTCTCTCTCTCTCTCTCTTTCTCTCTCTCTCTCTCTCTCTCTCTCTCTCTCTCTCTCTCTCTCTCTCTCTCTCTCTCTCTCCCTCCCTCCCTCC